AACAGGGTGTATGCCTTTAAACTCCCCCGTCATGTGCTCAGTATGAGTCGACAATCTCTTCATTCTTTTCCTTCCTGACCTACAAAACATCTTAAAGGACATTTTTGTAGGAGACTGAGAGCAAACTTAACCCCAGGGGAGGAAGAGAGGAAATGGGAGGGGCAGAGATAAATATTGTTTAGGTTTTATTCCCAACTGATATTTTATGTAGGATTACAATGATTTTACAGTTTTACTGTAAAAAAAAGAGTTGCATAATAGCATGATAATATGCTAAATGCTTAAATCAATGTTGCCAATACTACTGTGTAACTACTGAGTGTTGACACCTGTACATAGTATCAAATATAACTTGTATGTTGTTGTTATATAGTAGTGTTTCCTACAAAACCTTGTTTCCCGTGTACAGTAAATATCGCTCTGTTCTACTTGAAGCTCAACTACTCCCTCCTATGTTTACTCTAAAGCTGTCATCAAACATGGGTGTGCTGGCCTGCACAGCTTCTTTGCCTCTTTTATGACTCTAGTGTGAAGGATTACTGTTGCAAAAAGTCAACAATAAAACCCGACCATTAGTACTACAACAAGTCACCACACAGGAATTCAAATGAGGGTGTTTCCAACACTCCAAGAATACGAAATATTTATACATACGGAACTTAAAAACTGAAGTGCTGGTTACATGAGAAAGGATCTTCAGTTGTGCTTGGCAGCACCCATGAGATAAAGAAAGAGGGAAATGAAAAGTAGGCCTCTGGGGGCACATGTTTGGCAGGATGGAGGTGTTACAGCTCCAACCACCCACAAGGGAGCATTCCTATTCTAGTCGCTGAACTCACAGTGAAAACCATGTTTTCTTCTCTCCTCCAACAACCTGAGGGGTGAAAACTTATCACATATGACTGTTTTATTATTTTATATATATATATATATAAATTTTACTTGAATCTATGGCCTGAGGGAAAGAAGTGGATAGAAACACTGAAGACTGTTACCAGCTGGTCCATCAAGCCAGGCAACAGGAAAAACTGTTGGATCAGAGTCATGTTTGTCACTGGCAGTTCTAAACAGAGAAGACATACGGAAATAACAACTACATTTGTGATCACTAGCTTAACACAACAAGCAAGCAGAAGAAACAGTTCCATTTCATTTTAAACCAACCTCCACTGGCTATTTCCCTTGTTTAGAGTCTTCATGCAGAATTAAAATGACCAGATGTTGACAGTAATTCAATACCACTGTCAAATTAAATTATTTCTTTACCAAATATCCCAATAGTACAGGGCCATATTTGCTGTTGAATGATTGATGGGGATTTGGAATGAATGCAGGGCAGATATCATCCAACACTTTAACGGACTAATTCTCAAAAATCAAACAATCAATCAATGCCTGTCTGCTGGCCAGTTGACAGAGAGTACGTCAGGGAGTGCGAGGGTGGACTGGAATCTAAAGTACTGTGTACTTTATATAAAGTATATATAAATATATATAAACAATATATAATATATATATATTATATATGTTATATATATGTTTATGTATATATAATATATATATATATAAGTTTATAAAGTTTATAGAAATATAAAGTACTGTGCTGTGATGTAAACAATTGACACAATTGATGTGAGCAGGAAGCTAAATATCAGGCCGCTGTCTTCCTCATTTGTCCACTCTGCACCCCCTCTGACATACAAGGTTAGGGTGATTTATTCCATGTGGCTCTGAGGACTATCTGTCATCCTGACAGCCTGCAGCAGCCTCACACCACCTATAGGACACTGACAAATCGATGCCAGGGAATAACCAGGCTCCCTCATGCAGGCAGACAGAGGATTAACTGCAGTGACTGACCTTAAGTCAGAGTCAAAATGAAGAAGAAGATTTTTGGAACAAGTGGAAAAGTGAAAAACCTGTATTCAGGTGTGTGTGCCGCACTTCAGAGAGGTCGCTCCTATGTGTAGTGCCACTGGGCAACCAGAAGGTTAAAACCTATGGTCTGCATGGACGACATGGCTCATCAGCAAAGCACGTATACGGTAGCTGTCACCTAATGAAGAGCAACCTGACCTACTTCTCCACTAGTGTAGCTCCACAGCAGCAGCCACTGCAGGCATGATCAGCAGAGTGTACAGTAAAGTCACTCCAGGCACAATCTCTGTCCTTTTCTCCCTTTTCGTCTCTATGAATGCATGAAGTGGACCATAGGGTAAGTCTGAGTACACACACACAATACACACACACGTCTTGTGTCCAGCTCTCTGCTGGCCTGGTGTTTCATCCACCCTCTGATTACTTCCACTCCAACAGTGACAGTATTAATTCCCTGTCTTCTGCTGCAGAAATAAGACATACTGTATTGTTCTGCTCTTTGCTGTTCTCATCCCGGGTGCAGACAGAGATGGGGGATAGGAGAAAAGAGGGACTTGCATATACACAAACAAAACAAGAGCTGAATGTTGAAGCATGGGGTGGAACAATACATGAACCAGTTTATGTATGAGGGTGAGCAGGGTTAAAGATGGCTAATGAAGGAAGACATGCAATAACCTGGTACTAAGACCACTGTGGGTATGTCTTTGGGTAAAGTAAACAATTAGATGTTTGTATTATTAAGGGTCAGTGAGCCCACTGTAGTTTTAATGAATTTATAGCAGGGGTGTCAAACACATGGCGCGCGGGCTGAAACCGGCCCCGTTAGGATGTTCAACTTGATGATTTTAAAAAATAAGAAAAATAAACAAACGCTTCATGTTCAGGATATTTTTTTGTGAATTTATATTTATAAATAACAATAAATATATAATATATGTGTACTTGTTTGACATCTAATTATGTGGTATGCGGCAAGTGAACCAAATTAGTTTGGCACCCCTCATTTGTAAGTTTGTTTCCCAGAAGCCCACAGTTTTCACTATTTACTCTGTTGGACAAAGTCACTGTTATAATCCTTCCCTGCCACCACAATATGCAGAGAAAATCCTGCACAGGATCAACTGTATATTATTGTATATATTATACACACTGATGGAAACCATCTGCCGTCTGTGCCAATCCTGAGAAAACCTGACTCCAGGAAAAGGGAAAAAGGAACTTTCAGACTCACCAGCATCACGGAGTCATAGTCTGACAGAGGAAATGAGACAGCGGTCACTTCCTCAACTTCTGAGGTGGAAATACCTCACACTGTGTAATAATTAACAACGTTGGTGTGAGAAACAATCGAAGCAGTGTTTATCATGGACAACGATCATCCGTATTGCTCTGGGTTGAGACTAAAACCCACAGCAAATAGCAAGAAGTTGACATGACACAACGCAAACTTTATGAGTCACGTTACTATAATGCAATGTAGTCAAGGAATAACAATGGTGTTCACTGTTGTAAAATTCAACTCTCAGCACAGCGGTGCTGGACCACAGTTTAACAGGGAGCTGTGTTGAAACAGCACTTAATGATTGACGTTTGGTGTAATCAGTGTTTGTTTATGTACAAACCACTTTAGAACAGTGATAATCAACCGGCGGCCTGCGGGCCCACCAAACCATCCAATGTTAGACAAAAATGTGTTTTTTTTTAATGTCCTGACCCCACAGTCTCTAAACAGAAAAATTCATTAGACACTAGGACTTTAGGGTTACATTCACCCTGCAGATCACTTTGCTCAATTCCAATTTTGTTGAGATATAATTTTGTAATTACATAAGGATGTGAGACTGCATTACAAATGTCTGGGAAGTTAATGGACTAATTAATGGATGTCAATGAATCGATACCAACATTAGATATAAACGTTCTCACAGACCATGGCAGGTTAATGAATGATTGATGAAGGAGACTTTCAAATAAATCTTTTGCTCGGTCGCTGCACAAGGCTGGAATAAAGGAGTGCCAGAGTTTGTGGATCACGGTGAGGACTGAGGTCTGGTGTCCTGTAACATGATTAGATGGGAAACCCATGTTGATGTAGAGTGATATATGTAGAGTTTTTTTTTTATCTTGTAATCATACAGACTTTAGTGCATGACTTTCTCAGAGCTAGAAAAAAAGTTATTATAACTAAAAGTAGGCTGACTAAAATATCTTTAATAATACTGTACTATTTTAATATGCTGGCTTGTTTTCTTAGTAGCACTGTGGTTTCCTGTGGCTGTTCTGCACATGGAAGCAACTTTCTAACATTTGGAGCTAATGCTGCCTACGACTGTCCAGCACATGACAACAAAGTGTAGCTAATGGTTAAGGGCGGACGTGTTTAAATTCTTTCGCTTCCCCGTGATCTCTGTGAATGAGCAGTTAACTCATATAATCTTGGAGACAAAGCCTCCTGTTAGCACAGAGATGCTATATGGATATAAACATTGATCATCTTCCAAATTATGACTGTCAACGTCACATTAAGCACTATGCTGTGATGCTGCGAATGTCATCCATCTACCCTGTCTGCTTCTCGAGCATCCACAACTACAGAGTCAAAGACCGACTTTGTTGGGCTCAGAAAAGTGAGAATATAAGCCTCATTAGCAATAGCCCAAAGAGTTATTTCCCTTTGTTATGCTCAGGCGAGGCCCTGAAAAAGGTCAACAAGTCAGGCTTATGACAAGACATGGTGGTGTGAATTTACAGGACGGGATGTAAAAGCGTGGATAGAGATGCTGGTGAAGTATCCATGAAGCAAACAGCTGGTTTTTAATAGACCAGATAAAGAGCAGCTAATGTTGGTGATAACAACATGTCACTGCCTGACATGATTGTGTACAAGCAGAGCTGAAAGTTGCACAAAAAT